CCCCAAAACCCCAAAACCCCAAAACCCCAACACCAAGTAAAATAAAACTAAGAGCATAATTAAACTATTATATCAAGATTTAACATTTAAATTTTTGACTCTACACTTTTTCTGAGATGTTGGAGGCGTTTAAGTATTGTCTGCTATATCAGTAGCATCAGCAGTTGACATCATTGGGCTCTAAATCTTTTTTTTATTTATTTCTTTCGCTTAAGGTTATTATTGTTGTTTCTGCTACTTTCCTATTATCGTCTCTAGCTTTTCCAAATTATTTTTGACTTTTTTTTTCTCTTGTGAGGACTAAGATGGTGGTTCTGAAATTTCAATACTTTCTTGAGATTTATCAGTATCCTTTGTTCCTTTATGAGAATAATTATGTTTTTCTTTAACATTTTTCTCGTCCTTGGATTACTACTTCTCCTAAGACGATTTCTTACCATTCGTCTATTTTACTAGCTTTTCTTCATTTTTATGATGCTTCTTTTCTGCTACCTTTTCTTTCAAATCCTTGACTATTTATTCCTCCAAACTCTATTAATTTTTCTTTTTTGAATTTTCCTCTTAGGATTATTAAGACTTCTTATCGCATTTGATCTCAATTTATTCTTTTTCAATTTTCTTCTCCTTAACTTTTGAGGATTAAATCTTTTAATCCTTTTAACTTATCAAAGGAATTTCATATTTATGGTTTTAAACAATTAGCTAAATTGCACTTAGCTTTTTCCTCTCTTCTTTTAAAGTCTTTTTATCTTTTTTGTCTTAACTTAAATCATCCATTAAAACGTCATCATCAACCAGCTACTATTATAATTCTAATTCCTCACTTATATTAGCCTCATTTTCATCATCGTCATCTATCTAATCATCTTTTTTACTTTTCTTTTTGTTTTTCTTGAACTTTGATTTTTTAAGATTCCCAGCAGTTGGGGGATTTTAAACTTCAGAATAATCTATTTTAATATCTTTTTTTACTTCTTTCTTTACAGAACTCTTTTTAGAGCTTTGCTTTTTGTTCAACTCTTTTTCAAGATTTATATCTTCAATATCATGTGCATCAGCATCCAGACTATTCTTGTCATCATAATACTCCTCTTCATCGTCGAGATCATTCTTTTTGCTTTTCTTTTTCTTCTTCTTTTCTTGTTTCTTTCTATCTTTGTTTTCTTTTGAAGTTGAATCATTATTTTTTTATTTTGTTGAAGTATCGATTTGAACTGGAGTCGGATCCTCATCTTATTTATCAATCTTTATTTTGATTTTGTCATTCTAAACTTCTACCTCCATATCATCAATCTACACCTTTCTACCTCTTTTCTTTGTTTTCTTTACAACTTCTTCATTCTCGTCTGAAGAGCCTTAAATAGCCTTGCTTGAATCAACAAAATCCAAAATTTTAATTTCTTCTCCTTTTGGTTTTCTTTTTTGTACTCTTTTTATCGGATATCCTAAAGTGTAAGGATAATAAAATTGATCTGTTCCATCACCTGTTTTTGGAATCGAAGGAGCAGGTTCTGAAATATCTTATATTTCTACACCTTTAGGTCTCAAGAAATCGTATTCAGCCACTCTTATCGCAATCTTTTTCAATTCGATTACTTTTGGAAAAGGTATTTCAACATTAGGATTGAAGTTTTTGAAAAAGCTTCTAACTTGCTCTCGAGATTTTTAGATATGATTCTCAAGATCTTCTTTAGATGCAACTGCTTTAGTTTGACCTAGATAAGGTCCTGGCCCTAGTGCAGGCCTATTTTAAGCTGCAAGCATTCTTGAATATTCGTTCTCATATTATGGCTCGACATAAGCTAACCAAATTTCATCCTCGTACTCTTCTGGATCAATTTCTTTAATCTTCTTCCTCCTATTTCTCTTCTCAATAAAAGTTGCTTTTCTTTTTTAAGTCTCTTAAGCTTTCTTACCACCTAAGAAAAATTCTTCATCTCCTTCTTCATGAGTGCATTTAGCACCGATGCCAAGTAAATGCCTTTCTCTTCTCTTTCTTTTCCTTTCATCTTCACTACTGCTGCTTGATGAACTGCTACTAGAAGAAGAACTGCTTGATCCATTGCTACTCGTACTTGATGTTCCACTTGAACTTGTACTTGAAGAAGAACTATCCTTCTTTTTCTTTTTCCCAGAAGATTTTTTAGCTTTTTTAGGCTGAGCTGGTTTTTTAGCAACAGGTTTTTTCTTTTTCTTGTTATTTTCTGAACTAGATCCTGAAGATGATGAGCTTGAAGAAGATGAAGATCCCCCTTTTTCTTTCTTCGCCTTATCCTTACCTTTTTTATCTGAATCTTCAACTTTGGGTTTTTTCTTTTCTTTATTAGATTCAGATGAATCACTAGATGATTTTCTTTTTTCAGATTTCTTCTTATCACTCTTTTTGGTTTCATTATTATTTTAAGAACTTTTTTTATCTTTCTTTCCTTTTTTATTTCCTTAAGAAGATCCACTGCTACCGCTGCTTGAACTACTCTAAGACGCATCTTTCATGACTGTATCATCATCAAATGGCAATTCATTCTTGTATACCTTATTGCAAAATGGAGGTATTTTAACTTAATGTCTTTTTTTAATTAATGCATAATTTTAGTCAATTATTAATTGCTAGTATTCATTTTCGAGTTTCAATTATATTTTCTAGTCCTTATCTGCTCATTTAATCGATCTTTTGTTAAGAATCAAAGTTTTCTTTTCATAAAGCAAATTATCATTAAAAGGCAATTACCTCTTTAGTAATAGTCTAGTTGAGTTTAAATGAGAAGAGTCATTGCAGATACTGTTCATAATCTATATATATCTTAACAAATTTTCAGAATTTATATATTTTTGGTTGTAAGATCTAACCAATTTAAAGTCTTTAGTCAATCTGTTATGAAGAAAATATCGTATTTAATGGCTATAATGTTTTAAATACCCTATCATGTGTCTGCATATCCTCTTCTTGCTTAAGTATCTAAAGCAATTACATTGCAATTTTGAAACTTAAATAGTAGGAATTAGAGGAATAAGCTCTTCTCTCTAATAATATTCTACTTTTCCTTGGAAAATATTTATTGATTATGAATTATCTCGATTTTCTGATTATTGCGTAGATTAATCTTCTAATTGAATTTAAAAATCTATTTCAATAAATTTTTTTTCTTTTTCTTAATTCTAGAACTCGATAACATTTTCGTAAAAGGAGTCCTTTACTTC